ACAAGGGTTAATGTTAAGCATTCACATAATTACCATGAACAAATCGAGTTTATTAGGCATTTCAGAGCAGCTGCTCCTCTTAAGAAGGACCCCGGGAAGGGTTTCTTCTCTGACGTGTGAGCATGACTGCTACAGCAGCGGAGGGTTCAGCGGGATTTCCGCTGCATTTGAACATGTTACCCCGCGCAACTGCTGAAGGCTTTGATGGCAATGCGCTTCACCTATCGTGACATGCAGCGTTGAGCATTCTAAAACACGATCCACTCACGAAACGATCCACACGAAGCATTCCACCATATTTTCCCCGGTACGAACTTTTGCGGTTTCGACCTTTACGGCGTAGATCTTCAGCGCTAACAACTTGTGCGGTGTTGTTTTTGCTCCACTTGGCATGAGCAGGTAACTGCCGATGTTTTTTCAAGTTCCTGCGCCACTCGTTCGCTAGTTGTTGTGTAAGGACGGCAAGGTCCCGGAAATACATGCTCAACAATGAGCGATCTAATGTTCCGCGCGCCTTATGACGTCACAGCCAATCAGACCATTCCTGGTGTGTGGTGTGTGTGTGTGTGTGTGTGTGTGTGTGTGTGTGTGTGTGTGTGTGTGTGTGTGTGTGTGTGTGTGTGTGTGTGTGTGTGTGTGTGTGTGTGTGTGTGCAATGCGTAGTTTCGTCGTCAATAGGGTTTAACACGCGTCCGGGTGGCCGGCTAGATACCGTTCGCTCGCGTGGGGCGGGGTCAATTTGACCTTCCTGAGATCTCGGGATCTAAGAAAGCTAGAAACACTAAATTTACAGGGTGTGTTGACCTGTACGTGAACTCACTTAGGTCAAAGTTTCAGATTCCTAGAACGTGGCTTTTGGGTCAAAAAGGTCAAACAAGGTCAAGTTCCAGGCTGGTCTCCAAAGTGCCCCAGGACTTAGAAACCCCTTTCTAAGCAAAAGTTCATATTATCATTCGAGGTCAGTGACCTTGTTTGACCTTTTGAAGTTCAAGGTGACCAAAATCATACAAGATTGCTTTGAGTTTTGCTCTTGACTAAGCGACAAAGATTACGCCAGATAGTATGTTCCAAAAACAAAATGTTAACATGGATCATTTTAGGTCAGCGACCTATTCTGACTTCTAAGACGTCCATGGCAGATGTATAATGTGGTGCCTGCTACCAATAAACTCGAAATGAGCACCAGAAACTGTCCCATACAGCAAGCCCTAGAGCAACAAAACAGGTTTGTTTTGACCTTTGTGTGGCCTTCATACCTGACCTTAGGTCAATGTGATTTGCTCATTCAACTGTTGTGTTGCCTGAGAAGGCATCTCAGAGATGTATGGCTTTGTCTAGCATTCCGTTGTTGGATCAGATTGAAGGATTCCATAGAAATTGCCTTCGCTGAAATCATGGCCTGAATTTGACCTGCCAGAGGTCAACGACGTTGCAAGTTACATCTAAATTTTTGATGTCAAACGATCTGGTATTCAATTGTCTACATTTGTGCGAAATTTGGCGCGGCTGCGCCGCGCCGTTCGGAAACTGTTCTGGAAAACCTTCGTGTGATCAGTTTAACACCCACCCAAGCGCGTGTTAAAGGAATAATTCTGAACAGAAGACAGATTAGATGTCAACATTCTCTCAACGGAAACGTTGACAGGGGTGGGCGGGCGTGACAAAGGCTGGTCACAAAGCAGCTGGCCACGAAGGTCGCTCGCAAGAGCACACCGGCGACCGATGGCGTCAGGAAGGCTTACCGCTGCCGTCCGGGCGGCGGTGAAAACAGCCCCTCATTTACCGGATATGACCGGTGGCAAAAACCGGTGGCAACCGGATATGACCGGTGACAAAAACTGACGCTTTTGCAAGCAAACTAGTGACAGAGCTAAGAAAACGCAAACGAATTTAATAGGCCAGACCATATCACAACAGACCATTTCAGCTAGACAAAACTCGAAGCTTAGTATTGGCCTGTGCTCTCTAACGCTTGCATTGTGAGCATGTGTAGAGGACATGTCGAAACGTCGACGTTTCACTGTGTAAGCAAGTTGAGCCATAGGATGCTGCCATTTATAGTAGTTTTAATCGTGGTAGGTTTTAGCAGGTGGCATGTATATACTACAAACTATATTATATGGGTGCTGACGTCACAGATCAGTGGTGACACAGCGTTTTTTTCCAATATTCCTCAGGTCAACGCCCTTCACATACTTTTTAGCCAAGATTCACCGTGACATACTCAACAGTACAAAATTACAAATGAACAGGGTTTCTACTGGTCGTAAGAATCCTAACTGGCCACAGCATCATGCAACGAACGTGATCAGTTTGCCACACGGCGTTTTAAAGCGTCGTGTCATATGAGACAGATGGCCTCGAGTGCTCACCACGCGGCAGTGCGGTGGGCTCAGCGCATGGCTGAAGGCTGCCGTTTGTCGTGGGCATGTTGTGAGAAGCTGACTGGCTTGAATAACGTAGCTTGTCGCCACTTTTTTAAGATTCAGTCCTTTCTAAGGATCTACCTTGAAGGGTGTCCCCAGCAATAGCGTTAAAAAGCCCTGCCGATCTAGGAGACCTGTTGTTTGCGGATATCTGACCTGTAGCTTCAGAAGTAAGAGGAGGATATTGGAGCGACATATATCAAGAATTCCTTCAGAGCTTCCTCCTGCTGAGAGGAACAGCTGCTTTGAGGCACGAGGCCGAGCATCGCTTGCGCAGGCTTCTCACGCTGCTTGTTGCACTTCAGACTTAGCTCACCGATCGGTGGGCAGGCGTGAGGTAAAACGCTTTTCATTACCATCACCGTGCATATAATGTTAAATAAAGGTGCTAAAGGTGTTCAAAAGTGTCGTTTTCATCTGTCCATGACAATATTGCAAGCCTTTCGCACTAATTAATGGGGTTTTGTAAGGAAGTGCGAGTTCTGCACCGGAAAAAAAATAAGTAAAGATAACATATATAACAAATAAAAATAAATAAAGATAGTAAAGATCACCAATGCTTCAGCAAGTTGCATGATGACGTCACAAAACCAAGAGTTATATTATTGTCAGGTGCTTGTAAGCCTATTCTGTCGGTAAAAGTGGGGCTACAGTAATGCAGTTTTGCAAAACACGTGGGGTTGAGGGAGGGAGCAGGGAGAGGGCCTACGAAACGAAAAATGGCTGGGCCTGCCTCCGAAATGCACTTAAAACAGTTTTCTCCCCGAATTTGGCGCATTTTCTATTCAGAGTTGGGAGCAGCAGTGAATTCTCTCAAAAGCAGTCCTGAGAGCTGATCCCTAAAAAATCAGGAATAAGGAAAAGAAATGGATAAAACTGATACCATAAATAGAAACTTACGTCCATGGCTACGTCCACGAATAGGAAACTACATGTCTCTAGGCTAGTTATGCTAAGTATGCCTTTTCTGATGATATAATTAGTTTAGCCTCAAACATCAGTCAGTGTCTGATGACAGGCAAACGATACTTAAGTACAGATGAACTCTTAAAACGAAAATGTTTCATGGTTATACAGCATTGAATTTCAGAAGTCTTTGCTTTCATTGTGTATCGCAATTAAAGTTATGTTGCAATAGTTTCTAAAAGATTTGGCTCCAGGTAACAATTTGGACGGTTCTAGATTTCGTTGCTGACAGAAAAGGTACTTTTCATCTCTGGGAGTGGGGATTTGACCAAATTCGGTGAACATCTTTGGCGAAAGCTGTCGTTTCAGTTGTCCACGCACTCCAAAATACCCATTTGTGTGATTATCTCCGAAACATCCTGTGTGAGCTGGCAGTAGTAGTAGCTCACATGCAGTAGATTTAAGCGCATGAAAAAGCATAATTAGCAGCGACACAAGCGTCACCGATTCCAGTGGCCGGAGATCTGACTGGCAGCACGCCAACTTGGTCACTGCAAGAGAGCATCAACAGACGCTGTTATCGGCGGGCGGGCGGCACCACTAGTGTCGCTAGCACGACACAGCGGCACCACTAGTGTCGCTGGCACGCTCTGCTTGCGGCAGCCGGCGTGGTGCTGGCCTGGTGACGGTGGGTCGAAGGCAGGGGAGTTTTGCGTGTATCTGAAGCACCAGAACGGCACGCGAACGCACAAGCCGGCAGCTACAAGCGCAACATGGGGCAAAAACGCGTCGTTTAGAGGAGCTTGCCGTCGCTTCCAGATGTCGCCGCCGGGAGGCGGATGCTCTCTGGACAGAGAGGGTTCGAGTGGAGACGAAGCAGTCACTTGAGTTGGACAGCGAATATCGAAGCTTCTCTGGGATGCTCTTTTCTCTTTGATGCACCAAGTATCGCACATGCGTCATTTTTGCAATGCGTTACGTTACAATCATGGTGGTCTCTCAAAGCGTGCCTTGTTTACGTTCCTGTCGAGCAAGACCGGCCTGACGCAACCCATCTAAATCGCCCTCTTATCACTCCTATCACAATTTGTATGTACCCCTGACCCCCAACTCCCGCGAGCCCAGACGGCGGTCCCTTCCTCCGTCAGCCGCCCCTGCAGGGGCTGTCTGTCCGACCGCCGCCGTCAGCGGCCCCTGCCTCCGCCCCTGCCTCGCTGGCGGACTGTCCGCGACTGTGAGGCTCTGGTGAGCGGCGTGTCTGTCCGACCGCCGCCGTCAGCCGCCCCTGACCCCGCCCCTGCCTCGCTGGCGGACTGTCCGCGACTGTGAGGCTCTAGTGAGCGGCGTGTCTGTCCGACCGCCGCCGTCACCCGCCCCTGCCTCCGCCCTTGCCTCGTTGGCGGACTGTCCGCGACTGTGAGGCTCTAGTGAGCGGCGTGTCTGTCCGACCGCCGCCGTCACCCGCCCCTGCCTCCGCCCCTGCCGCCGTGTGTCCGACCGCCGCCGTCAGCCGCCCCTGCCTCCGCCCCTGCCGCCGTGTGTCCGACCGCCGCCGTCAGCCGCCCCTGCCTCCGCCCCTGCCGTCGTACATCAGACTGACCCCGGGTGGCCGGGTGCTGTGTTTGGCTTGGAAGGGGGCTGCCGGTGTGCCAGCGGCGGCTGAGTCACACCAGCTGCGGTCGGCCGCCGCGCCCCTGTCCGACCCGAGCGCTGTGAGGGGGTGCGCGACGCTGCGAGACCGGCGTGCCGATAACAACAGGCCAGGTTACACGGCGGCGAGGACGCGACACAAGGTCAGATCTGCTGTGGCGAGAACCTCGCTGCAAAAGACATTGACCTTATGAAGGCCAAGGCCACCAAAAACTTTTGATGTTGTTTTCATGGTTTAATTCAAAATCAACGTCACGAGCTTTGCTACGTGGCGTGGTACCCAAAGTGAAAGGTTGATCGGAGTAATTTAGGTCAGTGACGTTCCATGACCTTCATGAAGTCAAATGCTTTGACGCTCTTGTGAGCAAGGACATGAGCGCCAAACACTACCTTCTAAAATAAGTTTCCCAGTACCATAGTGGTTTGGCATTGGCCTTGATCTGATCTCCACACGTGATCCTAGTTCAATGCAATTAGTCGTAATCCTGCCTCAAGTTGTGTGAGTGTCTAAGAAAGAGTTACAGAATTACATGACTTTACCGAACACTCCGTTTTATCACCAGATTCAACGTTCCCTAGGAACTGTCTTTGCCCTCAGCCAGGATTTAGCTATCTCCTGTCATAGATCAGTGGTGACCTGACAATGTATATCTATGCTGCTACCAAGCGATCGGCTACCCATTTGTCCGTCGCTGCGCATTGTTTGGAACGGTTACGCTGCTTCGTTCGGAGGTTATTCAATAAGAAGGTTTGAGGGGATGGCATGTTCACCACCACCTGAGCGCGTGTTGAGTTTGTCACCCAAAATGTGTTCAAAAAGGGTGACAGGTAGTTCACCTCGTAGCTCTTTAAAGTCGTGATAGATCATTTTGAATTATGCATCACAAAATGCACCAATGTTTTCACAGTGGAGCAATGTGCTCAGTTAATTTTAGTGGCAAGGATACGAACTGCACTTTTGTCTTTTTGCTAAGACAGCGTTTGAACAATGCGTGAATCTTTTTGTGTCGTAAGTGTGGTTTTAAAAAAGATTGTGCCCTGACCAAGAGCGGCAATAGACAAAGTGACCACGTTGCTACTTTCGTTGCAAACGAGCCAGGCACTCCTGACGTCGACTGTACGTCCCTATAGGCACAAAATCTACCCAGTCCTTTCAGTCAGCCCAGTCCATCCAGTCCTTTCACTCAGCCCAGTCCATCCAGTCCATTCAGTCAGCCCAGTCCATCCAGTCCTTTCAGTCAGCCCAGTCCATCCAGTCCATTCAGTTAGCCCAGTCCATCCAGTCCATCCAGTTCATCTATTTCACGCTCTTGTGTGCAATATGGATAGTGAAGTCCTGCTAAGCAAGGAATTGTAATCCAGTGTATAATCATGCGGAAAACGCGGCGCAAAATGCGACTGAGCATCAGAATCGAGAAACATCCCTAGTGTGAATCATGCATGGCATAGATGACTAATGTACGTTTGATTTAAAACACTGTTATGGACTAAAAATATCCATACTGACTGAGGGAATCTAGGCCGCTGTGGTCAGGTATACACGCAAATTGCTATCGTTCCATATTTTCGAGCAGTTACATTTCAGAAGCTTCTGTTCGTGCGAATTTGAGGGTGTGTCCTGAAATTTAATAGCATGTTGTGTGTTTCATTCCGCAATGCGTAAGGTCTTTGCAATTATGTCTTCAATCAACTATGGAAAATGAATTGGTATCTACTCGACATAATTTGACTGAAAAACCCTGCTTTGTTATGTCATTTTTTGTGAAGGGCTTATTTACTTTCCACCTGTGATAATGGTAACCGATATCACACAAGAACGTGATGACTTTTTGTCAGAATTTCAGTATTTTTACATGTCGTGTGCGTATGTGACACAAAAGTCATGTGGCGTATGTGTCATGAATATTATCGTACAATTCCGTTTGTAATAAGCGAGCTTTTAGTTTACAGATTGAGATATCATATAAAATAAAGGTATGTCGAGGATATCTCTTTTTGATATTGTGCCCGGTTTCAGTTCCCCGGTATTCCCCGGTAACTTCTACCTTATAAACCTGCGTATCGCATTGCCGTACTACAGATAATATTGTGTCCACATTTTCCCGGAGCGCCACGTGATTCCAATCTGCTTCAGCGACATAGAATCCTCCTGCAGCCCATGACAACAACGCAAATACGAGAAGTAAGAGATATCCGCTTCGGATATTTTTCTCGAAGCAGAGCGGTGTTTGCATGCCATGTCGCGTGCCAGGCGCAGTGGCAATCCCAGATCGCGGTTCAGGGGGTAGTCGTGAAAACGACGCGATGGCTCATCCTCCCATGCGTTTTTTCCTTGCTTTCTTGCCATCTTCCCTGACTGGATCTCCTTCGAGTTTGGTGGTCATCATGAACGCCTCCCAAGGTGCGCTTCCTGGTGATGCCCCTGGCGGCAGGATTCCGGTCTATTTTTGAGACGGTGGTGTTCCAGGCCGCAGTGTAAATAGTACCCCGGGCAGCGCTGAAACCTAGCGGCGCCCGTGGACTTACAGAAGCGACCGACGGCGAAATTCAGAGGGCGTATGGAGCCTCAGATTGAGCACGGATCGCAGCTGAGCTTAGAAAAGGACTCAGCTCAGAGCTGAGCTTAGGTCTTGGTTTGATCCGCCGTCGAGCTCATCGTGTTTGAATCCAACTGGCATTGCCCATAATGACATCCGATTGAATGCTTACGAAGTTGCGGAGCGCTGTCGGTGTCAGTTACATGAAGATGGTTTTGTTTGTTAACTATTTTAGTTTATTTCGACCATAACCATGAAACAGCATGCGGTGTGAGGAGTGTTTTGACTTTCAAGCGGAACACTTAAATCTGAGCGTCCCTCCTAACAACAACGAAAATGCGTCCTCGTCGCCCGCGAGCTCGCGACCCTCCGCCCCTCCGTCCGATCTGCTAGCTCGGACGGGCCACGCATCCGCCGCCGCTTCGGCGCGCGGCCTGGCCTGGCTTACGCTGGCTTTCCCGTGGATGGATGAGCGATCAAACGCATGTCACGTGACTACGACTGCGACGGTTCGATCATCGATCCCATGATAATGCGGCATTCTTTTGCAATGTCTATATTGAATGCAACTTGTTTGAAAGTTATTCTTCACGAAAGACACGCGCAGTGGTGCTTATTGGTGACGAAAGACACGCGCAGTGGTGCCGGTTGGCCTTCGATAGGCCACGGTTGTGACATTGACGTAAATCTTGACAAATGCTGGCAATAATCGGCCTTGAATATGCATGGAGGCTCTAATTGAATAATGATATCAGGCAAATGCGAGGTATATTGTGAAAAATATCGTGAAATAGTTTTGACAATATAACCAATACTTCTCTGATAATGTGGTGCAACTAGTGCCTCCTGGTGCACTGAATTGTGATTTTTGTCGGCAAAAGAACTCACAACATTGTGCCGTAAAATCAGGACCTCATGGTATTTCTTCTTTCTATCATTAAATAAAATTTCAACGATGGTCTCTAGAGACTTGTCCCTAGATGCTTTGTTGTGTCCACCTATGCCTAGCAGTGAGATTTCAAGCCCAGTCCGCGTTTTTTTTTTGGGGGGGGGGGTGGTTATTTGGAAAAGTTCTCAAACGAAAGGTACTAGAACCGTAACCAGAGCGGTCAGAGCCTGCGACCTATGTCCAGATCGGGGGCGTAGCCTAGTTACTATCGAAAATTTAATTATTGGCTGTAGACAGATAACATTGCAAAATCCCAGATGGCGTTTGTTGAACAAAGCTTGTGCCAGCAAGCTTCTATCATAAGGCGGCCTTGGCGCGAATATAAGTACAATTTTGAGCTTCTCGTCGTCGCCAACAGACTTGATCACCGACAGACTTTGTTACGGCTTCGTCAACTTACGGCTTCGTAGCCAGCAGGTCTTTTGGCGTGCGTTGGTCTGACTGAACATTGTGTACGCGTTTGAGTGCGTACTGTATCGTGGGGCTTACAGAAGAATATCAAAACGGTTGAAAACATGAATATAATGTAGTACAAAAATAACTAAAAGACGCAGCACGGCGCAAACACTCGGGCTCTGATTTCAAGGGCATCTGGCCAGGCTGCTTGCGCAGTTGTAGGCCTGCCAGCCACCCTGACGGCAGCAGCAAGTTCCTCATGTAAACAAAGACATCCGTTTTCATTGCCCGGAGGCATTCTCTCAGACGCCTGGGTTTGTTACTGGCGAGCAGACTGCAGCGAACAACAAACAATATGTGCCGTAGGAAAATGGGAAAATGCTGCTGAGTATGCGTTCTCTTCGCCAACCGCGCTCGACCCATCGCGTGTCATACACGTCGCAATGCATCCCATTAACGATCCGGATACGCAGAGCAGCCTTTCCTTCTTTTGGTTGTGACAACAAATGACTGACCTCTATGTATGTGTACGTACTCACCTTTGTAATATGATGGAGAGAGAGAGAGGGAGAGAGAGAGAGAGAGAGAGAGAGAGAGAGAGAGAGAGAGAGAGAGAGAGAGAGAGAGAGAGAGAGAGAGAGAGAGAGAGAGAGAGAGAGAGAGAGAGAGAGAGAGAGAGAGAGAGAGAGAGACGTGCTGTCCGCCTGGAACGACGATGCCTCGCAGCTGGCTGGGAGTCCATTACTGTCATCCTTGTAAGTGTGTCTGTCAAGCTTTGTTAAGACTTTATGAATGCATTTGGTGTATAAATAGGAAAGCACCAGCCCTCACCGTTTCCATGGAAACGGGGAGCAGTGCGGCGCGGTAGAGGATGGTCTCCATCGATGACACCCAACGGGAGTTAAAAGATTTGGTTTGCTAGTTACACTCGGGAGAATAAGCCACTGAGGACGTACCAGTCATCAGTGGCTTATGGTACAGAATGGACATATCGTGACGTGAGAAAAATGTTGTTCCCTGCGTACACTCTAGCAAACCAAACCACACAACAAAGCCACCATAGATCACAGCTCACAAGTGCATGCACCTCTCTTTTACGAAAACCGTTCTCGTTGTTCCGTGAGACCTAGAGTTGCACACCTGCCGCCAGCAGCGGCCGACTAGCAGCGAACATCGATCAAACTATCTATGACCTGCGCACTACACACTATGGCACTAACAGCTGGGAATGGTCTTCAATCGCTTCTTCTGGCCTGCGCGC